TAGTGACCAACTGCAACACCCTGACTGAAAGCTCCTCAACAGCAGGCTCTCTCCTGAGACATCTATCACCCATGTGAATCTGACACAACTTCCAACAAAGCCATGGGGCATCTTCTCATTGACTTCAGTGGAACCAAGCCCCGCATGTCAAATAAGAAATCAATTACTTCAATTACTTCCGCACAGGAGAAGGCTTTTCACATCTGTAATTCATTTAAATGACTAGAACAAGGGAACTGACTGAGCACAGGAAGAGCTGAAAGAAAAGCCAGGATCATGCAGTGCAATGAGGAAAGCAGTCCTGCAAGACATCTTTGTGATGAACACAGAGATTGTGAGGACACCTACATGTAAAAGGAGATCAGTGCTTTTCACACCTTCTACCTCACACCCAAAACCTCTGAACAACCCCCTACATGCACCCACATGTGTGCACACACCTCCTCGCACACCCCCTCCCAGCCAGCAGCCGCTTTGATACACCACTGTGTTTCTCACTTTAATCTTCCACAAGCTGGCTCTGTTCTAATTAAAATCTCAGCCCATACGAGGGATTCCCCGCATCACACAGACACCTCAGGTGCTGTTTCTTTCTCTTAATTTTCTTCCACCGCCAGCAGAACTTTTTAGAAGCATTAAGGCACTGCTTTTTGCATACTTTCAAGTCACTCTTTCTTTTTAGTTGCCTGCTAAGCCAACCATAAATTTATGGTTACAAACCCCACCAGTTTCCACACTTTTATTTGGCTACATTCACAATGCAAATACAAAACAGAACTTGAAAGTTGAGCAGAAACCCTTTTGCTTCATGATAGCCCAATTCCTTTCCACATTTCTTTTCAAGCATGCAATGACAGGATTAGCTGGGGATTAATTACTTGAAACTCAACCTGCATCTCACGTCACAATTTTCTCGTATTTTCAGCCTTTAAAACTTTCCTATCAACCAAGTATTTGTCATGCAGACCAATACTTAGAACAGATAAGATATCCTTTCCATACAAGTGTCCTAATTGGAAGTCTCAAAACACAAAAATCCTGCTTACCATGCAAACTCCAATCCTCCCACCCCAAGTTGCAGTCCTATTCCCAAATGGGGGTGAGACCTCTTTCCAAAAATGTCACCTTCAAAGGCACAAAACAAAAAAAAAGATAATTCTCTGCTTCCTGTACTGTCCCTTAAAGGCAACTGCTCTTCTGATAAATTACACTTGCTCACTGGAGGGTAACCAAACAGTCAGTTTAAGTGCAATGTGACTTGATTTTTTATTAGCTTCTTCTGTAAGAATGGTCATGGGCTGGATTAGAATACATCTGTGCCTAGATATTGACTCAGAACCAACTGTAAAATTCGGTTAGCGCAGCAGGACTAGTCTAGGCTGGGCACTTCATGGAAGACAGTCATTGGAAGGGAGTCTTTTTCAATGTAAAAGGTGATCTAAATCACTGCATGTAAGAAGATCATCCCTTAATTAAGATACCTCCTGCCACTCCTTTCCTAGTGGAAACACATTATTGCCATAGTAAGGACAAATGCTGCAAAGTTAAGATGTCTACCATTTCACTTATGCCATAAAAGCAAAGAAAAAAAATGCCTCCAGTCGCTTTTTGTTATGACTTATGTTCTCTGACCAACTGGAAACATTCAGGTTCTTGGGCTGCTGTAACTGTATTCTATTTATTTATTACTTTATTTTGTTTATAGATCTTTTCTTGTCCAATTCATGTCTGTTGTTAACTGCAAAACAAAACAAAAACAAACAACAAAAAAATCCTCCTCTGCCACTTTCTACACAAAATAAACTTGAGCCAAATATTTATCACTCTGAAAATATCCTTAAGCAATTCTTTGCAGATTTAGGTTACTTGTAACAAACTAATGGTCAAAAAAAGATGATTTTTAAAACTTTATATTGAACCTGCTCTGATGCACATGCCATAAAAGAAGCAAAATTAACTGCACCACCTCCAGGGCACATTTTACTTGATGCTCTGAGGATGGGTAAAGTCAAGAGCAGGAGGCAAGAGCAAAAAAGAAAGGCAAACCAAGCTGAACATAGAAGAGTAAATTAAACAATAAAGACATCAAGAGAAAGAAAGCATTACAAGCAAGTGTTCAAGCATGTTCAAACAAAACACAGGTACTGTGCTAAATACTGTATAAATCCAAGCTATGCAAAATTCCCAGTGCCCCACTTGTGAGCTCTCCATTAAAATAAAAATCAGTGAGGAAGGTGTGTGCTTCTTCAGGGAAATGCTTTTGAACTAAAAATCACACAGTGGTATTGAGGCAAGAATAAGCAGGGTGAAAGCTTTCACGAGAGTGCCTTCTGGTTGTGCAAAAGACACGGATTACCAGTAGCATGCGTGGTTTTGCAGTTTCACAGAAGGCAAATATGACCTTGACACTGCTTGGAAGGGGTCTACCATGTCCAAACTGACTAGTAATACATAGATATTACTTAAATGCTCAAAAACAAATAACTTTTCCTCAACCATGCTCACCCATTATTAGCTTAGGCCACTTACACAGATTACTCCAACTTCCTTACAAATGGATGGAGGAGAGCTAGTTGCCACTTCTTTGCTCAAATGACTGCTTTGTTTTTTTATAACAGAATACTACATAAATCTAGGAGCATGGATCAACTTGGCTGCAGTGATTCCCTATGGAGCAGACACCAAACATTCTTTAAGCAGATCACCAGGACTCTCATCTATCCCACCCACATTGGCCTCTTGGCCCCTTCTCTCCCCAGGTTAAGGGAGCAGCTATCAAGCCCAGACAACAAATTTTTCCTTTTCTCTTTACAATAAGATTAGTGAATAGCATTTTTAATTAACTCCTTCTGAAATAACAGAGCTATCTAACAAGTCACTGCCTGCGCAACAGGTGGGCACAGAAACAGTGCATTGCACTACGACACTGTAGATGTCTCCATCAGAAAAACAACTCGCCCACCTTGAACACAAACCCAACAAATTGCTGCATGTATCCCACAGCTGCCAAACTCCTCCCATGCCACCAGCACCTGACACTCACCACGAAAACACAGCGCTCACTCCACCTGAATGCATCCCAGTGCTTGCTTTGGCATCATCTCCATAAGTCTCTGCATTCCCTGCTTACCTTTCCCTTTTTCCTTCCAGTAAGTCTTATCTACACTGCTGCCACAGTGGAGCTGCTGCAAACTCCCAGAGTTTAGAAACAGAGTGCTGGTGTCACCTGGAAGGAGATGCCAGTCAAAGCTTGCTGTGGGGTGGTCCTCCAACAAGTCTCCCTGAACACTGATCATGATTAGGAAAGAGCTCAGTATTATCATTGCCGGAACACACCAAACGGAATCTGATTATAACCACTGCTGTAGTATCACCAAAAATCTTGTACCTGCACTGAGGATCCAGCCCTTGTTTTCCTTGTGGGGACTGCAGCACAGGCCTTCTGAAGGGGCAGTGTCTCCTTCCAAGGCCAGTGATCAGTTTTACCAGTATAACTCCTGTCCAAACGCATTTTCCTGTATTCAGTGAGGGTTTACACCAGTGCTGCTACCCTTGGAAGTCTGCCATCAATAAGCAGGTCAAACCTCTTAAGTCTGGGAAAAGCCTCTCTATTGTTTTTTGTCTCATGAACAGTTCTTCAGTAACTATGTATTTGTTTTGGAGAGCAGGGTGTTAGAAAACAATTGATACAAATAAAGAGCCCTCCTTCACCATTGAAAGTAAACTGTATGCTAAATAAGATGAAATAACTTGGTCTCTGTGGGCCAGAAAACAATAGCCTCACTGTTGCACTGATACCTTGCAAGTTACGTTCTCGCGTCACCCAAGGCAAACTGTAATAGGGACTGCTCCACAGCTCAGATTGCCTTTAAACCTCTTAGCTAGCCTCTTTTACCTCTTCAGCAGGTTTCCCTCTTTAGCACAGACATGAATCAGCTGCTTCAGAAAACCTCTATACCTTCCAAAAAACGAAATTATGTTTTATGAGGCTGTGGTCAGCTCACCTATGTTTCTCACAAATATTCCTAGCTTCTATTCTTTACATCAGGAGTTGAGATTGCATAATGAAGTAAATAGCATCAACAACTGTGACTGACTTAAAACGGAGCAACAGCAAGCACAGCTTTGTCTTCCCTCTCTCTCCCAGCAGGATGAGAATCTACTAATTACTTTATTACAGTGTGGGTGGAAAAAGGGGTGAACTTCAAGTCGGCACAGCATTCAACAAAGTATTTCCTCTACAGGGAAGAATGAGAAATAACCCCAAACCTATATAAATCTGCCTCCCAATTCCTCCTTTTGTTTACACCAGGTTTGAGGTTACTTACACAGTGGCACAGTATTAAAGACTCCACACGCATCTCTACACTCTAGGGCAAAAGCCCACCTTTAGTTGCCTAGCACTGAGAACAAACATTTTCTAGAGGTGAGCGTCTATGTAATGATCAGGATGATGCTTCTTGCATCCTCCTTCTTTGATCTGTCAAATAAAAGCCACCGTAATTAAAAAAAGGAAAAAGCTAAATACAGTATTATTTTATTTGCCTGCCATAATTCTATACTTATTTGTTCTCATATTTATGGATCTTTTTATCATTACTGATGCAGACAAACAGCTGCTGGAACCAGTCAAACAAACTGTGTAAAGTACAGTGAAATATTCAAAACACATGCTCACCTTCAAGATAAGACAGTAATAACAGAACATCTGAAACTAGAGTCTTAGCAAACCCAGGTACGCCAAGGTATGCCACTGAAGTCAGATGGGTTTTAGCAGTTTAATTTGCCCCCTTGATACTCAAAGGCACAGAGGTTATTCCATTACTAAAAAATGTGCCACCATCACTATAAAGTATTGGCTAGGGATTTCCAAAATAACCAAGAATACCATTCAAACATCAAAGAGAGGACAAGAAATGAACATCCTTCCACAAGGAGAGCCTTCCATAGGGAATACTCTCAGGGGCTTACGATCCACTGTGAGCACAAGGCGTTCTTACCTGTATGAGTGAGTATGTGCTGCTGTAGGGAATTTACCCATGGAAAGACTTGAGGACAGTAAGGACAGGGGATGTTTTGCAGGCGGTCTGAGTAAGCATTCCTCTTCCCTCTCAGCAGCTTATCTTCAGCAGTGTCCTTCTCATCCTCATTTGCTCCATTTCTGCTGCTTTCTTCCTTGAAATTGTCAGTGGACTGCAGAAACGGGCTGAATTTATTAGCGTCTGTGGTAGCCAGCATCTTCTCTATGCTGGCAAATTCCCCACTTGACTCCAGATCCAGACCACTGCTAAATTTAGGCTTATTTTTTGTTCCTTTCTTTCTACCTCTTCTCTTAGTCAACACAGGTTCGGCAACGGGAGACGGCTCTGGATCACATGCCTGAGCCAGGTCACTGGGCAGGCTGGAGTCTCTCTGCACGGTGGTCACGATTGTCACTTTTGCTTTGGCGTTCCCTGATTTGTCACATCCAGTGGAGCTGCTCACTGCCTTGGGACCAGTGTCTTCAGCCTCCGTTTTCAGCAAAGCGGGAGCAGAAGACACAGATGAAATGATCTGTGCAATGGAAGCTAGCGGTGGCAGCTCTTTAGTTACTGGAGGCTTTGGCAAGAGAGGTGGAGGTGGTGGTTTAGGCCTCAAGGGTCTCAGCAAGGCAGAATTGCCAAGGAGAGCAGGGGAAATGATTGGGACAGTCAAATGCAACGAACCTTTCAGTGGCTGGGTATGTCTGACACCCCTGTTCTTCTCTGAGTTCCCGTTGGCACCAAAAACCAAAGGACACTGCAGACAGTTGTAGGCTTTATCACTGTTCCCAGAAGCAGCCAGCTCTTGATTTCTAGCTTCATATGGGACATCATCTTTATCCTTCTTCAGGACTTTGGGGATGGACAGGTCAATAGGCTCCATGGAACAGTCGTAGAAGGGCACGGGAGAAGAACCAAACAGGTTCTCCTGCTTCACTTGCACAGCACTCAGGCTTCTGCTCTTCTGAGAGAAATCCAATGGCTCATCAAAATCCATTGGGAAGCTGCCTGCAGGTTCAAGTTTGATGGGAACATGAGACGATGTCCCAAGCAAGAAGCCATTCTGTGGCTCCAGGAAAGGCGTCATGGTCTTGTGGTCCATGTAAGTGCTGTCCTCCAATAAAGAAGGGTCTGTCTGGCTTGCATGGGCACTGCAGTCCACCGCTAAGATGTAATTCTCAATTTCCCTTTCTTGCACATGCAAGTGCTGCTTGAGGATATGGTGAATGCAGTTTCTCTTGGCTGAAAAGGCTGTGCCACACTCCTTGCACTCAAACGGCTTCTTCTTCTGGCAGCCACTGTGCGTCCTCATGTGAATGCGGAGGGCTCGGTAATGCTTCAGGTCCTCACCGCACAGCTTGCACACAGTGTCTGGGGAGCAGAAGGCATCCACCATCTCTGCAGCATTGCTGGTGACATATTCAATGTTCTTTTCTATATCCTTCCTGGTCACTTTGAAGTGCTTCTTTCGCAGGTGCCTCTCACAATTGGCTTTCACTGTGAACGGGTAGTGGCAGATTTTACAGATGTAAGGCCTCTCCCCGCTGTGTGTCCGCAGGTGTCGGATCAACGCTGCCTTGTCAGCTGCAATGTAGTCACAGATGTTGCACTGGTATGGGGAAATACCCAAGTGAGAGCGGATGTGAGCTCTCAGGACACCAGAGAAGGCAAACACCTGGTCACAAAAACGGCAGGGGTACAAAACTTTCCTCATGGTTGGGGCTTTCTTGTTCGCTGCCCCTGCAATGATGGCTTTAAGGTCTCCTTCTGTGACCTCTTGCTTGATCTTGGCTTCCATGCTCAGAGGCAGGAGAGCTTCGATGATGCTGTCCTGGTCCAGTTGTGTCTTCATCTCATGCTGAGTTAAAGGCTCTACTTTGGGTTGGAGGAGCAACTGCGAGGAAGGGCTCGACCTGGCTCCTGGCTGGGGAAGGTGAGAGTTGGAAGAAGACTCCACTGAGTTCTTGATCAGCCTCAGAGGGGGAGGTGGGAGGCTCGGGCTGATGCAGCCAGGGGAGGCTTGCTGGGCACTGATAAGAGGAGGAGGTGTAGAGGTTGCAACGACTGTTCGGGGCGTTACCAAAGGCTTTGGCTTCAGTGGCGGCATATGCTTGAAAATAGACTGCACAGGGACAGAAGGTGCCTTAGAAAGGGGAGGAAGACTGATTTGAGGAGGAGCGGAAGAAGCCATCTTCAAGATCTGCTGAATGTCTGCCAGCTCAATGGCAGACTCATTGGAGATGGGTTTTACCACAATACTGCTGTCAGGCTGGATGATAAAACCCTTCTGAAAAGGCTGCAGCGAGAGAAGCTTTATGTTCTCTTTTGTAGGGGGAAGGACTGAAAATGACCCTCCCATAGAGGCAGCTTCCAGAGGAGAGAGGCTGAGCAGACCGGTGCTGCTGGGTTCCTGAGGTAGGTTACTCTTCAGTGCTCTGAGCCGCATTTCTTGGACCTCATCTTGTGTATTGTCCTCCTGCTTGACAGGCTTGATATCTTTGGTGTACTGTAGGCCCAAGGATGCCATGAAGGCTTTCTGGTCTGGGTTCTCACCAGGCGGGATCATGGACTGTTGCTTGTGCTTGTCTTTTCCCTGATCCAACACATGAGTTTCTGTGTGCAGTTTGAGCGCCGAAAGCATGGGGAATGCCTTGTTACACATCTCACAAATAAATCGATGGAAGTCGCTGATGCACCTTCGCAAATTTGTTTCACACCAGACCTGCAAGACATGCAAAAATACTTAGAGTAGGTATCTCAAACTGGAAAGGTACCATATGCTTCTGCAAAACAAAACCAGTTTACTCCCTCTTCCACTGCCCAAGTTAAGGAGGTTAGAGCAGCCATCACCTACCTGGCATGGAGACATTCCTGCTCCACAGCCTTTAGTCACCTAAGTGGTGTATCTGAATTAGGTGCTGATCCTCCAGGAGCTCCTTTCTATAGAGGCAAACTGCTCCAGAGAGTTATTCAGACTCTCAAATACTTTTCCACCCTTAACTTCCCCTCCAGAAACCTCTCTCGCTTCTCTGACAGGACAGGAGCCTCATTGGACTAAACAGCAAACTTCATTGAGACTACCTCCTTTAGTCTTATTACTACAAAGAAACTAGAAGGATTAAATAAAAGGCATCCAAGAAGGCAAAATAACATAAACCAATCAAAATAATAACACCTTAAAACAAATCAATGAAACAAAGAGCCCAAAGTGGAAAGGCTTTTGGTTAGTGAAGTCTAATCATATTTATTCTCCAAACAAAAACACTAGGCTCACAAACAGATTTTATACCTGTCGCTGAAAACGATCATGAATCCAAATGCTGCATTTAAATGCTATCCACATAGCTCACATGTTGCAGAGGTTCCACATCAAAGAGGAACACAAGTGATAAATTAAGTAGAGGGCTGGAAAGATCTTTATATACTCTACACACTTTGTTCAGATACTTCATAGATCTTGCCTCAGAATGCAAGCAAAATTGTTACAAAAGGAAAGTCACAACATTTAAAACCCTTAATAATGTTAAATGTCTGCCACTAATTACAAAAGAAACCCAAGTTGTTTAAAAAGTTATCTCTTGTCCTGATTTAGTAACTTTTACACCAAAATTCTACTTGAGAATTGCCTTCCAAATTTCAGGTCTAACACCTTGAAGCCAGAAGAGCTGGAACTCAGTGCTTTAATCCAAGTAGAATAAGAAAAGTGCAGCCGTTGAATAAGCATGGTCCTGCTGGGCTGTGCTGTTGATTTATTTCTTTGGGCTTTTTGAATACACAGCTTCATCAAGACCCAAACTAACTAAGGCAGGCAAGGTGTGATAAGAAAGAGGAATGATACTATCCAACAGAAAGCTTTACGGCTGTCACAGAAATATTTACAGACTACCTAGTGCCTTTCCCCAGCCACTGGCCCTCAAACATGCAGTATCTTCAGACCTCACGTAAGGAACATAGTGGAAAGGTGCCTGGGAGTGTTTTGAGAAGAAATCACTGAAGATGTCGCCATTTAGTAAGTAAGGTGATTTCCTGAAGCTTTTCATAACATCTCTCACACCACAACTACATCCTTTTAACAGGAAATTAAATAAATAATGTTTTCCTTACCATGTATCTTCCCTACTTATTTTAGATGTGGGATGGTTTTGGGAAGGAGAGAAATAATGGGCAAGCTGGAAGGGGCAAGGGGACTTAACAACACCAAAGTTTTCATTTAAAATATTTTTACGTATCTTTACACCAACAGTTACCCTCTGGAATGCTGAAAAAAAAAAAAACAACCCAATCCCAATATTCTTTAGATGAAAAAGGAAAGAAGAAAAGCAGAAAGCGTTTGAAGCCTACATGGATAGTGGTAATGTGCTTTCCACAAAATATTCTACACCCCATCTCTGCCTCATCAAGGACACATCTTTCAATGAATTCAGAAGATACATGCTATTATCAGCTGTTACCTTAAGCTATGAAGAGCAGAAAGTACCTGAGAAATGCGGGGGAACTTCCTACAGGAGAAGTCTGTGAATCCCAAGTCATGGAAGCCTGCTGGAATCGAAGGGTTGTTCTGAATGAAAGGCTTTCCCATGGGATCTCTGGGAAGCTGCTTGTGGATAACTGCATTATGGCGCAGTAAGCCCCGATGAGTACGAAACGTAATACAACAGATGTCACACCTGGAAAGGAAAGGAATAAAACAGAAATGACTTACTGACTGCTGCAAGCTTAACAACTAGCATTCTTGCATTAGGACAGCCTCCTTCCTCTTACCCCATGATACCAAGAACCTGCTAAATGCAAAACAAAGCTACAGCACGTCAAAAACTTATGACCACAGAAAGGCCATTTGAATTACAGTCACTCTCTACCAGTTTCTGGCCATTACGCTCCCTAGAAGTTTAACGGATATAGCACATGAGATCCGAGCATCCCATGTGGGCAGACTGCAAAGTGGCAGCTGAGACCACTGCCTTCTGACAACCTTCCCATAGTCCAACATAAAATATTTCAATGGCTTTACACCATTTCATTTTTACTGAAAAGTGCTACTAAAATAAAAGACATTTTTTAAAAACCTCTGACAAAGGGAGCCTAAATCAGACCTAAGTAGCAAGCTGCTGCAAATGAATAAATAGCACCTTCTTTTTAACTACTGCTTAAAACATACTACTGCACACCGCTGAAACACACATGTATGAATTTCCTCTACACTGTCTTTTCCGTTAGTTTTCACTGATTTTTCTCAAAGCTGTTATGAGAAATACACTGTTTTAAAAGGAAAACTAGTGCTCCTTGACGGGGAAGAGAGGCAGAGGAGAAAGACCTGAAATATATTCAACATGTCTGCACTCATACAGCCCTTAACAGTCACTGTGCCCCAAAGAAAAAGGCAGATGCATCGTTTTTTCCTACTGACATGTTATTGCTATGATTTCTTGTTTTTCCTAACTTCTCAAATCCCAAATTCAGTTAAACAGAGGTTTCTCACATAAAGTAAATTTGCATTAAAAAATCAAAGATACCAAAAATGCAGTTATGCTGCAGGCAATAAACACTAAGCAGCAATATTTGGCCAACACGTCAACAAACAAGCCTACTGCCTTTTAAATATCTGGGATTGGAGCTCAGCAGCATGACAGGTCACATCGTCTCTGCACTCAACAAGTGACACAGTTTCACTCAACACAGTTCCTTGTGGTTACAGCTCCAGCTCACAACCAAAGCATGAGTTTCAGAGAAACAAACACGAGTGAATGTGAAGCAGTCGGATTTTGTCAGCAAGAATATTATATTCACTAGGAGTTTTTCATGTCCCCCCTGCCTTAATTCTACCCATACTGTCTTCGCCCTCCATACCAAGGAAAAGGACATGTGCCTACTCATTAAAAAAACATCCTGCAATTAGAAATGACTCCTGACAAAATCCTGAAACCACCCCTTCCCTGTCCTGTCCCTAATAAACTCCCATTGTTGTTCTTTTTATCACTACATAAACTTCCACAGACCTTTTTTATTCCCTGAAAATGAAACAGATAACCAAGTCACCAACAAAGCAATTGGACGCATAGTCTCGGAGTGGTGAAAGAAGCAAGTGTGAAGTATATGTAACATGGCCTTCATTATCACAGTACCCAGAAGGCTGGGACATAAATATTATGCAATGCAGGTTTAATATCTCCCGTCTTTTCTCCCTGTCAATTCACTTGCATCCTACCTTTATAATTATTGCCAGCATAGTCCCTGCATTCCATTAAATGCCAAAACAATGTCATTTACGAAGCAAATGTCAAGATCTACGGCCCTCCTCCAGCTCGCTTGGCAGCACCTATTCCATGATGCAAGGCTTTAATCTTCAGTGAAAACAAAAGCACACAATCACCAAAACCACTGGAGAAATAAGGCATTAAAGGGTTACAGCAGTCACCTGAAGAACTTGCAGACTAATGAAATAAATCTTTTTTTAAAGGTGATGAAGCCATGCTTCTGGCATGCTCCTGCACCAAAGGAGTATCACTGGTGGCCTGTGGGGCCAGCTGTTCTGCAGAGGGACACAGACCCTCACCTTGGGGCATCTTGATGCAGATCCAGGGTCCCTGATGTGCCTGGCCTTCCCTGTGCCAGCAACCCAATGCAGAAGCTGTATCCCCTTGTCTGTGACAGGGCAGGCACAGCTACCACTGATGGGACCACAGGGCTACTGGGAGAGCCAGTGCCTGCCACAGTTTACGCTGCAGGAGCCAGTGCTCCTGGCCAAGCAGCCAACTGTCATCCACACCAGCAGGAAGGCGCACTTCATCCATCTTACACTCCTTCACCTCACAGACTTTTAAGTACTGGTTTATTTAGGGTTCCCATCAAAAGCTGCACTTGAGAGTTAATCTTTCAGAGCAAAGACCCGTGTGAAAGTCCTTTGCAGTACACCTGTATCAACTACTATGCCTCAGGACAGTAAAAAATTTGCAATTTAAAATTGCTGTTTTCTATTCAAAGGGAACCGCATCCCCTCCCCCAAAACAAAAGCAGTATCTTGTACTAGTACTTTCTGTCTTTTATAATGCATACAATTAAAAACCCCTCTATTTTTCTCTTTCTGCTTTAGCCTTCTCTTTTCGTTTCCTTGCTGTGAGTGAAGCAGCAGCAAGAAAAAGGAGAAGTCAGGAAAAGGATTAAACTCTTTTTCCATTCTGTCAAAAAGCTCCTGGCAGAAAAAAGGAAAAATCCTGTCATCTCAAGATGTAGGCACTCTGAGGCATAAAAATGCACTGCACCCTGGCTCAGCACCTGCCCCTGGCATCACAGTTCACAGGATCACACAGAGCTGGAGCACCGGAGGGACCTGTGGATGCCTTCCCTTCCTCCACGGTTCAAGCACACCTGTATAGGCAGCCACAGCTTGGAGAGCTGGAATAAAAACAGCCTGAGAAACATGTGGAGCAGCTTCCCTGGGGCAGGCTTCCCAGGCAAGCAGGCAGCCTGTCAGGCTACAGCAACCGTGCTGGCACCTTGCACCCACGTCACTCGCCAAGAACAAGGGAGGTCATTGTAAAGCTCTTCCTGATACTGATGGGTGCCATCATGTCGCTGGCTCAGGAGGCCTCTCAGGCTCTGCAGACCTCACTTGGGCTTGTCAGTCTTTGCTGCGGGTGCAAGCTATTTAAAATACATGAAACATCTGCACAAGTGTATGCACATCATCTTTTTTTGTGTCCATGTCTATGTGTGGTTTTCTCACGTTCTCTCCCCCTCATCTTAAGTAGGAAGGCAGTCCAAGTTTCTCTCAAATGACACGGCTTGAGCTTTATGGATGCAGTTATGGATGTGTACCACCTTCAAGAAAAAATTACAGGTACTAAACTTCAAAACCTAACTAGTTAAGGCAAGCACCATGCTGCACTAAGGCTTGTGTTAATTTAAAATGGAGTAAGCTGCCATGCCTAACAATGCACTAACTGGAAGCGTTTCTTTCTTTTTTAAGGAAGCCTAACCATTAATTTCTCTGTTTTGCCATCAGTACTATTTTACATCTTTGGTAGTGTCAATGCCTTCAGTATTTTTAATTCTAAACCTACAGTCTAAGAAGGATAAGAGAGAGGAATCCTAGGTGATAGGACCAGTTTTTCATATTGCTTCAACTGCTTAAAAAAATGCAGAGTTAAATAATAGTGGGAAGTTTGAAAAGTCCAGCATATCAAATAAAGTATCTGAAACATGGCAATACTTTGCTCATGATGAACTTTAAAAAACAAAACACCAAAAACCTCCCCCTCTCCTTACAAATTCACACGTCTGCTTATGTGTAGTGCCAAGTCAAACAGGGATGGTATGGATGCAGAGAACAGAGATGGGAACAGGTTCTGACATTGTTAGCAGAACAGGCAGAGCAATGGCTCAACACCTGAGTGGAGATAAAAGCACTCTACTTGCAAGGTAAGTTTCCAGATGTAGCTAATAAAAGCTGCTCTGATGCACGTGATTGCAAGCCTTGGCCCCAGTTTTCCATTTTTCTATAAATATGACTACAGAACAAAGATCAGAAAGCTGTTCAGTTCCAAGCACAGAGATTCAGTTGCTTCTGGCAGATAAGGACACTTTAAAGTGAGCTTCATTCTCAACTGCCTTTACGTTTTGGAGTCAACTTCTATCTGTTCAATGCAAACTTAATACTAGAGTTCTGACTTGCTAGCAGAAGCGTACAAAGCAAGCAGGTGGGAAAACAGAAATGCTAAAAACAATGCAAAAACAGAGCGAAGATGTAACTGCAGGATGACAGTGCAATGACCAGGCTGATCTTGGGGCTCAGGCCACTTATCATACCAGGAGAGTCTGCTTAACTATTACTACACCAGTGCACCTCTTAAAGTTTGGGTTTCTTTAATGCAGACAAGGTCTCTGTGTAAAACCACACCATCAAAAAGCTTTCTACTAAAGTAAGTATTCTTGAAATCTGTAATGCTACATAAGATATAAAAGCATTTTAACAGGTGTTAAGAAATAATCAATGCTTTGTGCAGCTTCTTAAAAAGCAAGCCAGGATTTGCTACACTTACAACAAGCAGCACCTTGCCTGTTGCAAGGAAGGTTTACATAAGCAATGCCTGCTGCCTTGCATTACACTCTTCACTGAGCTAATTCCAATTTGTCAGCACTGGAAATAGCTTTTTTTCTTTAAGAAAAGGAAAGACATTTTAGGAAAGAAATGCAAAGCCAAATTTAAAGCAAAATTAATCAGCCTTCATTTTAATTAAGGTTAACATAACAGTCAAACATTCAATCCTTCTAAATTTTGTATTTCAGTAGTCAAGATGCAAATGCCAAATATTTATATTCATCATTCTGTTCCAAGAAATTCAACAAACACTTTGCTATGCATTACCCTGGACTGCAGTGGAAAAGTAACATTTAGCATTCTTCTACTTATACTGCTGAAAACAGACAAGAATAGACCAAAACTTAAAGTCTTCACCCATGCAGCTCACTAACACTATGTTGCCCAAGTTGTGGATGTCAACAAATAAGAACAATGTTAATTTTCTATTTCTTATCTAAAATAAAAAGCTTGATACAATTTTGTTCCTTTCCTGTCTGTGCTCTTTTTCAACTGCCACAAACAAAAGGAAAACAAAACAAGAATGAAACACATCTTGAGACAGAAGTCATTAATACACAGTTACGTTAT